AAAGTTTGCTGTTTCAACAATTTATCTACATGGGCTTCCAGCCTTATTCTTTAGTCTCCTATTTCCTACTCTTCTTGCTTTTCTTATCTTAAAATTCTGGATTGGCTCTCCAAGCTGTTTTGTGCATTCTGATTTCTTTATCGGGCAGCAAGTTCACTCTTCATCCTCATCCATCTGCTGAACTATTCACTGTTTCCTAGAGGGAAGACCTGTAGGGACTATAATTTGGTTGTGCTGGGAATGATGGGTCAAAGAACTAGGCAGGGACAAGAGCAGGCATGAGAAAGTGTAGACAATCAGGATGACACAATAAGGGAGGATTCTCATCACCACTGAGATTATTTTCCTTTCCTTAGGCTTCTGTTGAAAGACTGAGTTAAGCAAGCAGCAGAACAGATTATTTGTCAGCCTCTGGATTCTGTTGATTTTTGAATTACACTTGGAGCGGGTATATTTCCTTTCCAGGAGACACATAACAAGGTTCAGTGCTGTTCTATTAGCTTGTGCAATTCTGCAGCCAGGCACTTTTCTTGCCTTCACTTCCACACTCCCTGCCTGCCACACACACAGCCCTACTCAGAAGTTGTTGTTTATGTCTGCAGCCTCTTTCTCATGCTCCTTTTGCATCATGGCCTCCTTCAGGCATAGCTGCCTCCTCGGCCTGGGTTGCCCTTCCTAGAACCTGACACAGAATGGCTACACAAGCAGGAGCCATGGCATGGGCTCCTCACCTCAATGTTGGCCTCTGAGCTCTTCTGGGCAAGACTCCCAACGGCTGGAGTCAAGAGTGAGGAAGGTGCCTCAGGGACCAGTGGACAGGGCCAGCAACAAGGTGTTGGAGCATTATGTGCCCCCCAGCGAGCTTCATGCTCCCGAAGCTCATCTGCTCTTCTCGGGTGAAGTGAGGACACAGTCCCATTATCAGTTTTGAGCTACGATTAAATAACTGGTCTTGTCAAAATGCATGGAGGCTTCTTGTTTTCCCTCCAGGCAGCAAAGTGTCGCAGGCAGCCCTGCCCTTGCCCTGAAGTTTTACATCCATGTGAAAAGAAGGCCTCAGAGATGAACATGAAAAAAACAAACCCTCTTCCCGTTCAGATATGGATTTTGCTTTGCTCAAGGCACTTTATTACAGCTAGAAGACTGGAACACTGCTTGAAAAGATTTAACAAAGATGTTTTACAATACATGCTTCCAAAACTGGGAATTATATATCTTCTAAAAACAACTTTTTAGAGTCTTTCTTTGTATGTGTGTGTCCAATGAATACAGCTCTGTGTTCTAAAAGATCTTATGTTTAGCAATTCCCTAATCACAGAACACCCCCTCCTGAAAAAAGGAAAGATCCCAAGTACAGTATTTTTACATACCAAAAGACAATTGTTTTAAAGAAATTCAATATACTTTGTGGCTGCTTCCAGACAGCTGAGTAATGGCCAAAGCATCAACAGCTGGGAAATGATTCTGCAGGTTTCTTTCCTCCTTCCTAAAACAGACTGTTCTTTGAAGGAGTCAATCAGCATAAAGTCAAGATGTCAAAATAATGTAGCTCTGAGCAGGTAATTTGACAAACTGTGATGCTGGCCTTAAGTAATTTGACTGGCTATTAATTCTCAAAACAGTCTGAAGAGATTTGTGATGCAGGCAGATTTCCGTCTAGACAGGGAGAGGAGTGTAAAACACATTACATTGGTAGAACTTAGCAATGACAAGAAAAACCCGTTTCATAATCACTCAGCTGCCTGAACCACAAAGCATTTTTTCTATTCATGACCCCCAGCACGCCTGACCTGTTTGCATGCATCAGTTGGACCATCCGATTTTTTTCTGCTGACTGTTAAGGATTAGCAGATGAACAGATAAAAGCTGTCCTCTTTGATTTCCTGCATTATTTATTACACCACTATGTTTAAAACAAAACCAAAAAACCCTCACACTCAGTGAGGGGGAAACCCTTTAGGAATGGAGACAGACAGACAATTCATGAGGAGTGTAATGGTGCTTCAAGCATTTCTATTATAAACCTGTTTATAATTCCTCTGAACACTTACTTGAAGGTCAGGCTCTGGGACGTTCACCCAGTTTACTCTCACGCCTGAACCAGCTGTACCTCTGCCATCTTTCCACCATACTTACACATGGCAGCAAGCATCACATAGCCTGAGCTGCCTGCGAAGACTTCCTGACCTTGCGTCACATGTTCTTTTACAGTGTCTACAGGCTCCTGCTTCTCCAAGCCACACCCAGTTTATTCCAGAATGTTAGTTCCCATTATTCCTGCCTCCTAGTCAGCTGGATATTTCTGATGAAAAACGCCATGACCATACCAATTTATTCCAGCATGTTCCTCAAATTCTGCCTTTTCCTTCTGGAATGATCACATTCTCCTTAACTCTCTCCCCACTTCTAATACCAATTCAAATTTTCCCATAATTTTATTATGTTATCCCTACATAAGAATGAGGTAGCAGCAGATTTGAGGTAACCTCATATTTGGAGGGCTTCAAAAACCCTTAAGTGGGGAAAGAACCAACCCTACTTGTCATTGATAACTCAATGACTTGGGATGTTGACAAAGACTAACCCCCCAAGAATTTGGTGGGAGTCATGCTGGAATGAAAAAATAGGCAAAGAGTAGACAAAATCTTTTTGTTTCCTAGAAAGGTCATCTGATTCACAATGAATACCCCAAAATATGGAAGTGAGAGCTGGCCATCAATACCATTGGAGAAATCAAAGATTTTTAAAGTGACTGGAACTGAGCTCAAATGTATCCATTTCATCCCCAAAATGGAGATTATTTCATCTCCAAATAATCCTGCAGCAGATCCAGTCTTGACCGGAAGCAATCTACACTGCTTCATTTTGTTGCTGGACCCCACTTGGTGCTTAGAACTTCACCATACCACATCATGATGGCTATATACTACCTCTAGGATCAGAAGCAACAAGTTAATGACCTTCTATTTGGACATCTCATGGCCACCATAAGAAACATGATGTTGGACACTAGCCTTGCAGGTACAGTCTTGGAGCATCCCAACTGTGAAATTGGTTGGACAATTATCCAGATGTACACAATAGAGAAGATGAACACATGCTTAACATATAAGACTTACAGATGTTCAAAGCACTTCATACGAACCCTTTTGTTTCGACCCTTATAAGAACAAATTGTCATGCTTGTTGAGAACATTCCAACCCATGTGTAAGGCAACAGGTTGGAAGAGGCCTTTAAGTTCTAGGAGTTTTATCCTGCAAATAAAGGTTTCTTCTGGACCTCTCAGCGGCTTTCGATACCATCGACCATGGTACCCTTCTGGATAGGCTGGCGGGATTGGGGGTCGGAGGCACTGCTTTGCAGTGGTTCCGCTCCTACCTCAATAACCAATTCCAGAAGGTGGTGCTGGGGGACTATGGCTCTGTGCCATGGCAGCTATGCCATGGAGTACCGCAGGGGTCCATTTTGTCCCCTTTGCTGTTCAACATCTACATGAAACCGCTGGGAGAGGTCATCAGGAGGTGTGGGCTGCGGAATCAGCAGTACGCTGATGATACCCAGCTCTACCTCACATTTTCCACCAATCCAGGTGAGGCAGTGGCTGTGCTGAACCGGTGCCTGGTCGAGGTAATGGGCTGGATGAGGGCCAATAAACTGAAGCTCAATCCGGACAAGACGGAGGTCCTGTTGGTTGGTGGATCAGGCTTCGGAGAGGGTGAATTGAATCTTGTCCTGAATGGGGTTGCACTCCCTCTTAGGGACAAGGTCTGCAGCTTGGGAGTGCTCCTCGACCCAGAGCTTTCATTGGAAGCTCAGGTGACAGCAGTGGTGAGGAGCGCTTTCCTTCAGCTTCGGCTGATTTATCAGCTGCGCCCCTACCTGGAGTACGACTGCCTGGCGACAGTGACACATGCTTTGGTGACTTCCCGCCTTGACTTCTGTAATGCACTCTACGTGGGGCTACCCTTGAAGACGGTCCAGATACTTCAATTGGTTCAAAATAGAGCTGCCAGGTTGCTGACGGGGCCTGGGCGTTATGTTCACATGACTCCAGTCCTCCGTCAGCTTCACTGGCTTCCCATTGAAGTCCGGGCCCAATTCAAGGTGTTGGTGATGACCTATAAAGCCCTAAACGGCTTGGGTTCTGGCTACCTGAAGGAGCACTTACGTCCATATACGCTCGCCCGCCCCTTGAGATCTGCGGGAGAGGCCCTTCTCCGGGAACCCTCCGTGAAGGAAATTAGGAGGGTAGGTACTCGGAGGAGGGTTTTCTCAGTGGTGGCGCCCAATCTATGGAATGCGCTCCCCAGAGAGGTCTGCCTGGCACCGTCGTTATTTGTTTTTCGGCGCCAGGCGAAGACCTTTTTATTCAAATGTCATTTTAATTGCTAATATTATTTGCTTAATTCTTCGGCCAGGGCGACTTATTTTATAATGTTAATGTGTTTTATACTTTTAGTGTTTTATATTTTAACTGATGTTTTGTAAGCCACCCTGAGGCTTTGGCGAATGGGGCAGCATAGACATTTTTAAATAAATAAATAAATACATACATATACTGAAAAGGAATGCCGAACTAAGAATGTTTTCTTTCTTTTGTAAGTAGATGGCTCTGCTTACATTTAATTTAACACATATTTGAAAAGTGGAAATCTAGCATTTCATGGTGTGATACTATTGAATGTAAGCCAGTAGAGTTTTAGGGATGGAATTGAGGAGATTAAGCAACTTGCAAGCTGATGAGGGAAACATTTTCTGAGAATTAAAAGGTTTACCCACTGGGGCTGCCCAGACTGATCTGGATGTGGTTTGCCATCCACTAATAAAGGAACTGATGTAAAGCACAGGGTAGCAGGGTCTGAAGTTTGTGATAAAGAATAGGTTGTCTTGAAGGGAGTTTCATGTTACCAGTCCCTTGCAGAAACATTGTGCTATTCAAGTTCAGTACAAACAAAAAGAGTAAGTGAACAAAAAGCTTGTTCTTTCACATGATGCTTACCAGGTTCAGCTGCAGACCGGGGCTCTGCTTATCACATCATCCAAAGGGGAAGAGGGAATGGAAAGAAAAGGGGGAAACGCATTAAAATAATTACATATACAAAGGTAAAATGTTTCATACAGCCGTATTAATAGATAACAAGATTAATATAGCTTTTGATTATTGGGTACCATGATAGATATGGGTATCTACAAGGGAGGAGTACTCTGAAAGGAAATTGAGCTTTATTCAATGATCATGCGAGGACAAAAGAAGAGACTGGACTGTTTACTGCTTGGATATTTGAATCAAGAAGCAGTTTGCCACTTACTTTTCTGAAGAATTCGGAAGTCTGGGGAATCCTGAATTTCAATCCCTTGTCGAAACCAGTTGACATGCAAGGGAGGTGCTCCTTTTACTCGGCACTCAAGTACCACTACTTGTCCTTCACTTGCTGTTGAATTTTGCAATTCCTGAAAGTTTGTTGAACAGAGTATTTGATTTTTTTAAAGCACCCCACAACTTACTCCTAGAAGCCCAACAGAGAATCTACAGATTACAGCAATATTTTCATGCTCTGTCACACAGTCTTACTTTAATGGTGACAAAATAATTCTAGGAAAGTTTTATTTGGGGAAATGTGAATTACTACTGTACTCTCAGTGGGAAAATCTTTCTATAGTCTACAAGCTAATTTTTACTATTAGATTCCTCTCCAAAGGAATGAAGGCACCCATGTGCAGTCTTAGCATACATGCATTAAAAAGTGCACGTATAAGACTTTGGGTGCATCTACCTGGGGGTAATTAAAAACCACTAAGTTCACAGTATCCATTTCAGCAAACGTTGCATAAGAAAATATCCAGGTAGATTGAGCCCACATCCTTAACTGCACTGAAAGTGCAAGTCTGCTTTGTCAGACGTACGATGATGATTTAGATACTCCATTAATAAAGGTTTCTCCCCACCATGCTTGAGGATTTTCTGTTCAACATGTAGTGGCATTGTTCGTATGCTCAAGCATTTTGAAGATTTATTGTTGACACTCTTTTTTATGCCTAGCTCTTTAATAGTTCATTTGCTTTTTTTTTTTAATGTTCCCTGCAGAAATTCATTTCATCAGAATCTTCCAGTCTCTGCTAGCAGCTGCCAGATCAGCAATTGTGAGACATTGGAAGACAGAGAGGCTTATGCAAGGCTGGCTGGCTGGCTTTACCAAGTGTGGATAGCAGAATTCAGAAAAACTGACTAAGGGGTTTACTTAAAAAGGGGGCACATTTTTTGAAATATGGTTTCTGTTTAGGTCATACATAAACTCTGAATCCTCAGGACAGTGCCCCTTAGTCACTTAAGTCTTCTTTCTGATGAAGAACAAACCTCAAATTTTTATAAGATGGTATCTACCCACCAGCAAATTGATCACTGAATTTGTAGAATAGGGGAATTTGTTGCCATCCATATGTTTTGCCTACAACTTCCATCAGCTCCAGAAGCACACTCAATGGTCAGAGATTATAGCAAGTGTAATCCAGAAGACATGGAGGACTCTGGACTGCCTATGCTTATTGCAGAAACATTTGTTAGACTGTGTGTGTGTGTGTGTGTGTGTGTGTGTGTGTGTGTGTGTGTGTACGCATACATGTAGCTGTCTGTTGTTGCTACTATTATCCTTTTGAAAAATATGATGAGAGCCAGCATGGCATAGTAGTTACAGTGTTGGACTGGGGCTCAGAAAATCGGGATTCTAGTCCCCCCTAAGTCATGAAGCTCACTAGGTGACTTTGGGCTATTCACTGACTCTCAGCCTAACCTTCCTCACAGGGTTATTGTGAGGATAAAATAGGAAGAAGGATTTGCAAGCCATCTTAGGTTCCTTAGAGGAAAAAGGCGGTATGTGAATATAACAAATGAACAAATAATATACATATATTGTAAGCTGGCAAATAAAAAATGAGTTTTATAGTGATAATTAAACATAAGAAATGATAAGAAAAGTTAATAAAACACACTTACCTCTTGTTCTTCTGTAGTACAAATAACAGAAAGTAATTATTATAGAAGTGTTTTTCCTAAAAGCCAATTGCTATGCATGCAGTAAAAAATCCGTATTAACTCAGTGGTTTTAAAGGGGTTTAAGTGATTTATGTACTAAAAAGTACCCCAACAAACTATAGTTTTAGGATTTAATAACAAAAGACTCAAAATTGCAGTGAAGAAATCAGACCTTTGTAAAAGTGGGTGCAGCATGACTAGGTTTTGATCCATCTAATCTGCTGAGGTATGAAGTAGGACTTTGGACCTGAAAAACAGTGGCAGACATTTGTAAAATGCAGCAATATCACTAGCAAAATAAAATGCTTGCAACAATATTGCCTATCTCATCTCTAACAATATAATAAAATCCTCTAATGCTAGTACTCTTAATTTGGTTTGTCTCATTTACAGTAACAGCACCTAGTGTTTTGCCAATATCTGCATGAGCTTCTCCAAAGTGGCCCCAATCTGTAGAATATCCTGTCCAGGGAGATTTGCCTGGTATCTTCACCATATTCATTTAGTTCAGTCAGGACCTTCCTCTTCCAGCAGATATTTACTCTTTAATCTGTTGCTCTGATTATTATTGATTCCCTTTAAACATTTAAATGTTTTCATATTTTATATTTCCATTATTTTGTTTTACTTTATTGATGCTCTGGAATCTTTATGATTGTAAAATACCCCCAAAACATCTGCCAGTTAGGAGGTATAAATGCATTTAAATAAATAAGGAAGCTAACATGGCATGAATGCTGGAGACAGAAGTTTGCAGGAGAAACCATAGAAAAGGTTTAGAGAAAGTTTGGTGCTCTAGGAAAGGGGATTTGGAGAAAAGGTGAGTTTTAAGTGCAAATTTTGATGAAGGTTAAAAACAAGAAAGAATGCATACATGCAAGCAGGAACGATGCGGAGAGAATAAAAAGGGCACCAACAACAGACAAACTGGTAAAAGGAGCAGAGCTGTCAAAACTTTGCATTCCAAGGCTTTACTAGGGTTTTAGGAGTCACAGTCCAACTCTGGCCCATTCCAGCGGACGCCATACAAATTAATAAACTTATTTCAGAGCTAGGAAGTGGGGCACACGGTAGCAGTCATTCCGGAGCCACGCTTTGAATAGCAGCTACCGTGTGCCTCAACATCAACTCACCCCCATTCCATTTAAATTAGAAGCATGTGCCAAGTGCAAGCATTTGCAGCCAAGGGGAAAGGTGCATCAAATGAGGAGAGCTGGCCATGAGTCTGTGCAAAAGGAAAGAGGTGAGAGGGATATTTAGTCTGGCAGTATGCAGGCACCTGCACAACACACATGATGATCTTGGAAGGAAAGCAGTGACTGTCAGGGGAGATGAAAAAGGAGGAATGTTCAGCTGGCAATGGGAGGCAGCAGTGGTGCAACTCTCTTGTTTTGCCCAAGCGGGGAAACTGAAGGCAGGCTATATTTATCTTGGCCCAGAACAGCTTTCCCCATCATGCTGCCTAAGTTGACAGCTGTTTTGGTCCACACCTGGAGGGCACCAGCTATGTCCAGCCTTGGGGGAAACTGATCTAGAGGATGGCTCTTTCGAAAATGCTTTGACTAGAAACTCCTTCAGGAACTTGGAGCCACACTGCCCCAAGGAAGCAATCCTATACACACTTACCTGGGAAGTGATGATACACAACTCCTTCTGGCACCTAGTTAGGACAACCCTCCATGCTGAGACATTTAAAAACATCTAAGGCTGTTTAATGGCTTAAATGACACACCCATGTATTTAGGTTTTTAACTATTATTTTAGATGTCAAAGCAGTTTGAAATTTTGTATTTTGGACATTTTTAGGGTACTATTTTAGGGACTGTTGTAACCTGCCCAGAGAGCTTTGGCTACTGGGGAGTAAGGAAATACAGCCATCCATACAAGCAACTTTGATTTTTTTTTTTTTTAAGAAATGAGGTGACCAAGGACATGTCAGCTACAATAACTTATGTCCGTTATATAAAGAATGTTGGTCAGTTTATCCCCAAACTGTTATGTGAGCATGTCTCACTACCAAGACTACCAAGAATTCAAGTAAATTTGTTGACATCCAAAAAAGTAATACCTGCATACCTGCTGATTAGGCACAGAGATGGGCTGGATTACTGCGGTAGTGATTCCAGCCTTTGGAGCAGAAGATCCTATTGTTAAAGAGACAGAAGTGCTTTTCTTCTGGGCCCTGGATAAAGGGTAAGTGAAAAACAAAGAGAAGTCAGAGGGCACATCCTTAAAATGCCCCCTTCACTGCTTTCCCTTTGATGAAGCACGGTATTAAATAACCAGTTCTCATGTTCAATCCTATTCAACCTGAAGTAATAACAAAAATGGTTTGTAGGGCACTGCTACTTTCCCGTTGTGTCACCCTGTTAACAAACTGTAGCTTTTCACATGACTGCTAGCCCATCTTAAAAGTAGCATGTATTAGCATAGAGGTGCTTGCCAGGAAATGAACAAGATGTCTCTTCCACCAACCTGACTGCTTGTTTTCTTTTTCCCACTCCTTATTAGGTATTACAGATCAGTTCTTTTTTTTTTTTTTTAATAAAGAGAAAACAGGGCCGATTTGTTCCTTTCCTACCACCTGATCTTTCTTCCTCTGCTAGCTTTCCCTGTCTTATCAAGTGGCACCAACGAACAGTGACATCTTTTTCCTTTCTTAAAAAAGGACTTAATTTTATATGGTAGATGCACTGCAGAGTGATACATAATCACATTCACCATGGCACCATGTCTCAAGCTATGGCTCAGTGTTCTAGCAGATGCTTTGGGAGCAAGAGGTACAGGGTTCAATCCCTGGTAGATAGGAGGGAAAAACACCTGTCCTAAAGTCTAGAGAGCTGCTGCCAATCAGCACTGACAGTACTAGACTAGGCAGATCAATGTCTGACTCAGCACAAGGCAGCGACATGTGCCTCCTTCTTCCCTGAACCAGGTGTCGGAGATTTGCTCAGTATACCCTACATGAAAAGTCTGTAAAAAGGGAAGGAAAAAGGTGTTGCAGTTAGCACCGATATGTGGGTGCCCTCGGGGCTGTGGGACATGCTACCTGTACCCATTAGTCCAACCCTAGTGGTGTTATCCTCTAACATGTGAAGAGCTGGATCCTGTATGGCCTTAAGGCTCAAAATCATCTACAGTTAGCCTCCTTCTGTTGCTCCCACAAATGGAGCTTTTCCTTCGACTAATTCACATTGTATTTTAGACACCACCCCCCTGTCCCCCACAAGCAAGTCTAGGTCAAGGCCATGATGCGCTCCAGTTTTAGCCACCCGTACTGGCCCTCCCATTCTACCCTCAGTACTGAACTCACACACAGTATTAGTGTCTACACACAGTCAACAGCAGACATTTTTCACTACATTTGCAAAAATCACATCCCATGCTTTCCTGAAAGCAAGAGAATTGCTATTCCACGGTAGAAAACAGAAACAGAGATGTTTCCACTTCCAGACATACTCCTCCTTTCTACATAAACTTTCTCATTCAAGAGCGAAACATGAACTGTCTCATTTAGAGGCAACCACCAAGCAGGACACACAAACAGCCATTGTGGCCATCAGGCATTTTGCTACCAGAGAGGACCAGCAAATGCCTTCTACTTCTCACTGGATAATCTGGGCCATTCACTACCATTCAGCCTAACCCACTTCACAAGAGGTCGGTGAAGCTCGGTAAAGCATGAATATGGTAAATAATTCCAGTTCAGGAATAAATGCTCATAATGAGCTTCTTTAGCAAGTTACATGGCCATCTGTGCATTGTGTTACTTTGCGCACTCATGCATGAGCAGTAGAGACAAGATGCATCAAGTACTCCACTTAGAAATTTACTGTAGAAGGACCCCTGCAGACTGGCACTTATATTAAATATTCAAAATTGGGAGGGAAAAAACCCTATACTCTATGCCTCCACCTTCTGCCTGGTCATCAACTCAAAGTCATCCATTTATTCACAACAATAAGTTGTTTTATTAAAACAATAACCAGTCATGTGGCACCTTAAAGACTAACAAGTTTATTCTGGCACACAGGACTGGCCTCCTAGAAGTGAAAACCCTGCCTCAGGTGGCAGAGCAGAAGTGGGAAATTTCACCCTCCATCAGGAAGGATTTCTATTACTGTCACTGCCACCTATCGGCCCCTTCCAGCTGTATCATTCCATGATTCTGTGTGGGGACTGCTCCAGAAGCTCACCTACTCTCTGCCCTGCTCTAAGAATCCTTTCTGAGCAAAAATGGACCACCTGGCTGCAAATGCCTGGCTCTGAGGAGGTCCGTCCTGTGTTGCAGGTGATCCACCAGCACAGCCCTCTTCCAGAGCAGCCACTCTCTTCTTAGCCAGAAGTAATAAATGATAGGCAGCTGCTCTAAATAAGAGTTGCCCCTGGAAATCACCTTCAACACAGGAAATCTCTAGGTACATCACCACAGGCAATGCTTGGCCTGAGGAAGTATGCATAGGCCATGCCTGTTTTTAGGAAGTGCTCTACCCATAATATTCTAGTCACCGATGAAACAGATAACATGCCATGACAACCTGCCTAACTATTTCTCCCAAACAAATTAACTTTGAAACTTCAGCCAGCAGAGACACCCAAAATGGAGATTCTGGGCCAGAATCTGTATGCACGCTGCCCCCGGTCCAAGGTTCAGTGGAGAATTTTCACATGACCTGATCATTAATTAACACTGGTTAATCTTTTTCTGTCTGTAGAGCTAGTGCCAGAAGAATAGGTGAAGTGGAACTCCTTTGCTATTATCTTTCCAGTCTGCCAAGAAACATGTTCTATAGTTGGCTTTGCTATGTAAACCTACTGTGGCATGGCTCCAGATTTTGATCTGAAAATGTCACTGTCAGAATCAGAGGAACTGGCACCTGAAAGTACAAAAAAACAGCACACTCAGAGTTGAGGTAAACTGTCATCTGCAAAGCATCAAAACAATTTAAAAAAAAACTTCCATCATGCTTACAAAATGACAATGTACCCATGGTTTATTTTATAGCATCATTTCACTTCTCTTAAAAAAGGTTTTGTTCCAGGCATTGTAATTTTACAGACATTATAACAAAAAATTGGCTAACTTGGGTAAGAGTGAATTGCCTTGAGTGCATAAGACCCTTGGTCCAATGTTGCAAATCGCCCAAGGAGGCAGGGTAGAATGAGATACACAAACACAGGTATTTCAACTGCAGTTCTATAGCCTTCTACAAATTGGGGCTATTGCTGTAGTTCTCACAAAAACTAATGCAAAATATTTTGGACTTCTTTTCCTGTGGAGAAGCTGTGTGGGTTCTTCCCTTGGTTGCCACGCTCTCTTACCTTCCACAAACAATTCTGCTGAAGTAGAATCGGAGCCTAAGGAATTTGAGGCCAGGCAACAGTAGCGCCCTGTGTCGTCCTCAAAGGCTTCTGCTATAATGAGTGTCTGCAGTCCTCCGCTTTCACTGCAGATCTGAATATCAGGAGAGTTTTGCAGTTCTTTGCCTTCACAGAACCACCTGTGAGTTGAATCAAATCAGGAGAGAAATAAAGCACTGATCAATGTTATAACAAAACTGTTACAAAGTAGAAGCAGACACTAAATGAGAGAAATTCACAAAAAGTGGCAGAAATACTCATATAAGCTTTTAGAAGCATTTTTTCATAATTCTCTGTAAAGGGATATTCATAAGGAGAAAGATTTTAATTCTCAACAAACTAATTAGTTCAGGATATGGTGAAATTTGACTTCCCATTTGCCCTGTTACAGCAGAAGGTATAGCTTCTCTCATATGTGATAACTATGTTCCACTGACATGTAGGAGGTAGCTCCAATCCACTTCATTGTAAAGTTCAAATATGTGGAGATGCAGAGGGCTCTCCAGATGTATTTGATGTATTTGAGAACCCTTGAAAAGTCAGGTGACTCCCACATTTATCAAACTTCCTAAAGGAGGTTTCTATTGCTTTGTAAAGGTCATTTTACAATGGTTTCTATTGCTTTGCTATGGAGACCATTTCTGATGGAAACAGGTGGTCTGTGATGTTATAGATCAGAGGCGAACAAGATGCGTCCCTCCAGTTGTTTTTGCTTACAATTCACTACCGGTCCTAGCTAGCATAATCACTTGTGCTCATGGGAGTTGGAGCCACCACTTCTGGGGTTTACTTGTTGCCCACTTTTGTTATTGATTAATGGCATGTAAGTCCCAGTGTGGTGCCTATAGTATACTTCCCTGAAGTGATCACATATTTGGATTCTGTGCTTGTATACTAATGCAGTAGTTGATCATGTGGCTGTACAATAGACATCTTGAATGTGAACATGCCCATCCTGGCAGGCAAATAAGGATAAGTTTTTAAAGTTGTTAAAAAGATCCCTGCATACAGAAACTTGGCTTTTCCTTTGATCAGACAGTAGCCATCTTTACTGGCCAGAACAGATTTTGTTCAAGTTTGTTCAACATTCTTTCAGGCAGTTCCATGTTAATACTCCATATCCCACAATGCTCTGAATCTAACCAAGATGAGAAACAGGGCCCAAGCAATATGACTATACAAGCAGATTCAAGTTCTACTGAAGAAGTGGTCCACTAAAAAGATTGATCATGCCACAGGAATCAGTACTTCTGGGATGCTTAATCTGCTCTCTCTTAGGTCCATGGAAAAAGTATGTGTCTGGGATTTAGTTATATTTATGGGTGTTAGTAGATGAAAAGGTACCACTTTGGTGGGCAGGTAAGAGCGTTCCATGCACTTCGGTGTTTAGTCATGCTGGCCACATGACCACGGAGACTGTCTGAGGACAAACGCTGGCTCCCTCGGCCAGGAAACGGAGATGAGCACCGCCCCCTAGAGTCAGGCATGACTGGACTTAACGTCAAGGGGAAACCTTTACCTTTACCTTTTATGGGTGTTCAACTTGCATATCACATTGATGCATTACGATAACCATTGGCTCCTCATGCTTTTAACTGATCAAGGATTGCTTTCACACACTACTTTTTCTATATGAGAAACATTCCTTGTAAATACACAGAACTACATATGTACCCTGTACATAACTGACAAGGTATGCACTGCTAATAGAATGTTAATCCATATATTGTATGAGACAGGTCAAATATCAACTAGAAGTATAGGGCTATTGCATTTTAGAAGGATTTACATTCTTTCAGTGTTACAAAAGCAGCCATTCACACTAAATGACAATGTGAATCATCCCAAGCTTTTCCCAAGCTTGAACTCCTGGAATTAATCCACATGCCTATTTCTAAAGTAAGTTGATGTAAGTTGAAAAAACAAAGCAAAGCAAAGCCCTAAATCTGTTGCAAGGCATGGAAGTGGATCCAGTTCCATCATACTGTATGTCTAAGTGTTTCTTGCAGATGCAACACTAGCAGAACCATATTATCCATTATCCACCATGCCCTTGATGTTTAGTAGTAGGTCAGCCTTTCCTTAAAAAATAAAGTAAGACAGACCAACTTCAACTTGGGCCTCAGCTCTATAGTCCATGCTCTCATTTAAAATCAAATGAGAATTTCTCCTTTTCCATCCAAGATAAGGTTAGACCTTCCCTCCCTATATACTTTGCTACTAAGTGATATGACTGCAGAGCTAAAGTAAATCCTACACATTTTTTCCTTGGACTTGATAGAGTGTAAGTGAAGAAATCTGGGAATGTGCATTCCTGTGGGGCCAAAACATACAAGAATAAATATAAATTTCCAGGTTTTGCATTAAATATATTCATATATTGATTTAATTGATTTTAAGTCAGATAGCCTTTCTGAAACCCTACCCAACCTGTGGAGCACAGGAACATAAGAAACTGCTTTATAGCTAAATCTGATTATTGCTTCCTCCACCTCACTACAGTCTACATAATGAGCCCATCTTCATCAACAGACCAGTGTATCATGGGTATTTCAGCCATGATGAGCAGTGCTGCATGGCAGGAGAGTGTAACAAACAGTGGTTGAGCTTACGTAACATGGTGCAACCTTCTATCACACCAGTTGGGAGTTGCATATTCAGAACAACAGCTGCATATTCTGGGCAGTGTCTCAGCTTATCGTGGATAATTTAACCCATAATAAGCCACCACGTCATGCAGACTGGCTCCATGTCTGCCACTGGTTCTCCAGGTCACCAGACAGGTGCATTTCCTAGCCCTCCTGGAGAAATAAGGGGTTGAACCTGTTGCATGCAAGCTATGGTTCCTTTATTGTAGTGTCTTTACACTACAACACTCACAATATTCTGAAATACATAATACTATCTTGAAAAAGACAAAGAAGTCATCACTTTTCCACTTTAGCTTTCTTGCTCACAATTTCATGTTTCTCAAGAATGGGAAAACTTATAGTACAACTTATCTGCTTGGCTAGTAAATAGCTGATTATGATTTCCTATGTGTAGAGCTCAGGCAAGCTTTATTCCACAAGCTAAAGACTGTGAATCTTCTAATTTGGTCAGAATATGGCACAAAAATGAACAACAGCTTCTTGCTTTCATGACTAAAGCAAAAATTATTTTCCAACAAAACCCAAGATCTGCAATCAACTATCAGGATAGTTAATACATTTTGAACTGGACTAAAATCTTCAGGAATAAATATGTTACTTGAATCTAGGAAAATTGATTCGGCTGTGAAGTTTTCCCTGGAATTTTCAGCAAGAACTATCTGCACATGGGTTGAAGTCTTATGGGCAGAGTGTGACCACATGAAGATGGTTATCTCATGAATCAAGGACCTAATGTTTTTTTTTCTGTTTGGACTAAGAAGAACTCATTTGCAGAGACGAAGCAAAGATGTAAAACTGCATTTTAAAAATATGAACTTCAAGCAAACACACAGCAACCAATGTGGCAACCAGGACTGGACCCAGAGGCTAAAATCCAGGACTCTGCAGGAAATAATCACTACCATTCTCTGGGTGGTCAAGGCAGCAGGGCAGCTGAAGCAAAAAATAAAAAGTGCACATTCATGGAAGTTTTTCTTAATTTAAAGTACTTCTTTAAATTTCCTGAAATTTTTTGTACACCTTCCCAAGATGTCTGTAGTGGACGAATTAGAAAAGCTATGAATGAATGAATGAATGAATGAATGAATGAATGAATGAATGAATGAATGTTGGAACCCTTATAGTTTTTTACTATAATGTATCAGAAATGTAAAGTACATGTTGGCTGTTGGGCAGACTGCAGGCAATTAGCATCCACTGTGCAACTGAAATAACATGGCCATCTAAATAGATTCTTTGTAAGACCGTTATTGCCTAGTGTCTAAAATTACCTGGGCACAGTTCCAATTTCACCCAAATATCAGCTTATTTTTGGACAACTGAACATAGATTCCAAATGGACTTCGCTCCTTCTGACATAGCCTTATGATATTTTACATTTCATAGTACAAGGATAATTGTAACGCATGTGCCACAAGGAAAAGTCATGTTTGAAGCACAGTAGTCCTTTTAGTCATTCCACAGAGATGTAGAACAGAGATGCACAGATGAGATACCATGAGACTGAAGTGGTAAGCACCACCAGAATCTGAGGGGGTGCATGTAGGCATGTTCTGGGCACATATAGACTGGAGGAGGCAGGGGGAAACAGAACCTGCTGTGATGACAGACCCCAAATTCATGGGCCTGTTGTACATTATCAAAAGGACTGAAAAGGGCTGAGTTACAGTTCCATAGCAATGTTTTCTGTTTATGAATAATGTCTGATCAAGCCGAACTGTGCTTCTTATATGACCAAGCTGTGTTTGGTCCAGCTTTTCAGAAACTTCAGAAGAAAACTCTCCACCAACACATTGTCATATGTTTTGCATGAATACCCAGTGCATGAAATCATCCCACTATCAGAGCAAGTCAGATCATGCTTGCCATATGCAAGTACCTGAACAGGAACCTCTACAAATAGAATGTCATATAACATGATTGCTCTTCTTCCTACGAGGTTAACCAAATATCAGTCCGTGCCTCTGCAAAAAACACACAGTGAAACAATATTTATTTTTACTTAAGATAAACTTCACAATACAGTGTTGCCTTCTCTAATCAAGTACAATTGGGTCACGCATGCAAAGGGACTTCTATTCACGCTAATAAAAAACTAGGAATACAATTCCCCCATGGAGAAGAATAAACCCTACGTCCCTTACGGCTAGGAAATGATGATGGAGCTAAACCATTATTCCATTCCTTTCTTGTAATTAAAACCCAGGCAGCTCCTATTGTGCCCAGAGAACATATCACTTCAGCATGGAACTAATAAACTTCCTTTGTTTACTCAGTAGCCTCATTTGGCCTAGTTTTACAAACAGAGCCTGGAAACAAATGTCTCCCATGAGTTAAGCTGCCAGTACATATGTGCTCTTCATCCCCTTCTCTTTGTTATAGTGGCTACTCAAACTACAATTTCCAAATTGCCAAAGGCCTGGATTTTATGACATCTTCTCCACAGAGCTTTGCGGGTAGAGAGGTTGAACAGAGGGTAGCAATGCTAT